AGGGTCTCTAACACCAGCAGTGCAGTGGCAGGAGCTTGGAAGACAAAAAGGCTTAAAAATAGAAAGAGTAAGTGATATAAGGCCAGAATTGAAATTCCCTTTTTCAATCTCATGCCAGGAAGTGGGGTTGCTAGCTCTAAGCCAAGCCTCCCATTAACAATTTACATATAGTAATTGCTATCTCCAATTACTATCAAGATATCCAGAGGTAATCTTTGCTAGCTGGAAAAGCTCCTGCTTACAGCCACTCACCTAATGGAAAAACTGGCTCTCAAGCACCATAATTTTATTCAGAGAGCCAGAGCCCCTTTCTTTAGCCAATACTCCTTGTGTTAGAAACCAGCCTGGCTGCTGGGAGCTCATCCCACAGGTCAGCAAGTCCAGGCAGAACAGCAGGTCAAAGACTCAGCCTTGAGCCCATAGGGCTGTCAAAGCACTTCTGCTTCCACCACCTTTTTCAGCTTTCACTGGATCTGATTTTTTGTTTAAAACATCTCCCACCCTCACCAGACGCTCAGCTGGCCATCTGCATCCAATTATTTTATCTCTCCCTGCAATGCTGCTCAGTGCTCAGGCTCTTGGACTCCAAACACAAAAAGCTCCAGTCACATTCTCATGTTCTTTATGGTCTGTGCAGCCCAAACAGTGCAGTTTGCCTGGGGGTAAATTCTGTAGCTTCATATATCTTCAGTGACTGAAGGCATGCAAACAGATTTGGGACTTGCCTGGAGCTCACATGAAGCCTGAACTGTGTTAAAATATTTCACAATCAGAAGTTTATACATTTTAAGATTCATCACTCTGGGATTTTCTAAAAAGTAACACATTCTACTAAAAATACTTCAGTATTCCCCTGTGATGAGAGAGGAGAGCTGATCACCTCCCAGATTTAATTGCAAACAGATAACCAGCCAGGTTATGACTGCTGTGTCTATAAAGGCTGGACTGCTGTCCCAGCCTTACTGGGAGAAGAGAAGGAAGCTGTGGCTGTGAGCAATCCTCCCTCTCCTGGTGAGCCTGTCCATTCTGTGAGAACCATTTTCTGTCCCCACGTCATGCCAGGCATCTGATTTTCCTGAGTCAGCGAGATTTTTCATCTCATTTATATTACACACACCCAGGCAAACATCCAAATTAAACACTCAGCAGGAAATTTGTACTTGCTAAAGGAACCTGCTTAACTTTCACCAAGACTGAGAGTGCATCAACTTCCACACTCGAGTCAAAGCCATCAAGGCAATCCTGTCACAGATCTGTTATTTGCTGCACATGGCCCATGAGGACAATAAATCCAGTTTCCTTCCACCTTTGCCACCTCAGCCCTCAAAGACACGTCACTGAAGCTGTCTGAAAATACCCCAAAGGACTCAGGAGGCTGCAACCCCGGGCACCACTCACCCACCTCGTCCTGTTCTGCCAAGGTGTCCTAGGAAGGAACCCTCCATGGCAGCACTGCCCAGAAGCTGATCCTTCTTTGGGATTTCTCTGGGAAAGAGCACAGCTAAAAGTACAGAGGGCTGACTTTCTGTACAAGTGACCTGAAGAGAAAGCAAGCAGGAAGACAATTGCCATGGACTGTTCTGACCTTTCAGAATGAGCTGCTCAGCCACTTGGGAGCGTCCCTCCCTCACACCTCCTGCCACTCAGTGTGACTTTGCTGAGCCAAACAAAACCTCACCCAACTGATCCAAGGGCACATTTCCAAGCAGAGAGCACCCTCACAGTCCCCTTTCTGGCAGGTGATGGGAAGAGATGTGATTCCATGGGAAGCACAGTGAATGGGCAGCAGCAGCTCCTGGCCAATGTGAGGCAATAAGGAGGTGACACAGCACTGATGTGACACAGTTAACATCTCAACTAATGCTCCAAGTGCTGTCACTACACACAGAATAATTTAGGTTGGAAAAGATCTTGAAGTTCATCAAGTCCAACCTTTGACTTGGAGCATTTTCACAACAAACCTATTTAAGAGCAGTGCAATCACCTCTCTGTCTCCTCTTTTGGGAACCTCCTTTCAGCTTGGACTTGGCCCACAAGGTGGAAGCTTCAAACTCACAGTGTCCAGAGGAGCTCCAGGGAAAATTATTCCAGTTGAACTTAGTTGCCCTTAAAAAGGTATGTGCCTTCAGCAAACTCAGTATGTAGAGATTCAGAAGTCCTCTTGCACATTGTGACAGCCCCTGAGTAGTGTATTTACAAATAATGACTAATTGAACCCCAAGCACAGCATTCCATGCCAAGGCCCATTTCCAGCACCATGCACAGCTTCTTTCAGGCAGGACTTCTGGAGGGCTGTGATTGACAAGGTCTCTAATGAACTCTAATTGAAGCCTCAGCAGTCTGAAAAACCCAGCAACAGATGTGGTGAAAGGGCAAACCACAAACTGTTTTGCTAATGAATGGAAAGTGTCTGGGCTGATGAGGGCCAGTGACCCAAAAATTCTCTTCTTTCACCCACCCTTTTACTTCATGTTCAAGTTTGGGCCATTTCCCTTGTCAGCACAACACTTGGGGGCAGTCATGGACAGGCCTGGACATACTGCACGTGTCCAGTTGGGGACCAAGATGCTCTTTTATGAGCCACAAGCAGCAGAACATGGATAGAGTAAGAGGGACCTCAGGGAGGGCACTCACTGTGGGTATCCTTGCCAGCAGGAATACCAGCCTAGGAGTGGTTTTAGACTTCCAGAGGGCATGGATTGGTGGGATATTGGAAGAAATTCCTTCCTGTGAGGGTGGGGAGGCCCTGGCACAGGGTGCCCAGAGAAGCTGTGGCTGCCCCTGGATCCCTGCAAGTGTCCAAGGCCAGGCTGGACAGAGCTGGGAGTGAGATTGTCTCATGGAAGGTGTCCCTGCCCATGGCAGGGGGTGGGACTGGATGAGCTTTAAGGTCCCTCCCAATTCAAACCATTCTGGGATTCTGGCAAGGAGATGCCAGTTTCTTACTGTGTAAAGTTTTGGAAAACTCTTTACATACAATGACATTTCTAAGCCATCTTCTCTCCTTTCAGTGGATCTTAAGCAAGCAGCCACCATCAGTCTGGAGATCAAGTCCTATAAAAAGACCATGACAAACTGAGCTCCAAACAGACTTCAAGCCATACCCTAAACTTCAAACAGTGACATGAGCCTCTGCTTCACACCTACCCACCATGGCAGTGCAGTGAGCAAGGAAAAGCAGCACAGGAAGCCAAGAAGTCAGGGTGCCATGTTTTACCATTCTCCTCCAAGTTGGATGAACCTGCTCATGCTCATCGTGCATTTGGAGTCTGCCCTTTTCCTCAAGGAGGTTCTTGTCTGCTAATGGGACAAGCAGCAGACTCAAATCAAAGTTCTGGATGAAAATTACCAAGAAAAGGTCAAAAACTATCTGCTAGAGTCTGGCTCTTGATGTTTCAACTATTCCAGGTGGCAGAGCACACACTGCTCTTGTCTAACCAGTGGAGACTTCAGGTGCTCAGGCTGAGAGTGGCTGCAAAACAGGTCTACAGGTGTCTCAACAATAAAGGAATCGTGCTGGATTTAACAAATTATTTCATCTCTGCCCCAGAGGAGGGGCTGCAATGCCTCCTAACAAGCACCAAACTGCTCTGGTTCATGTTACACTGTGCAAAGGAGCCCAGGGAGCGTGTTGCTGATGGAAAGCATGTAGAGCACTAATGAGCACCATCCAAAAGTAATTCCAGCATTTAGAGGTACCCAGCAATTTTCTGAGTCATTAAAAAACCTCAGACCAATTACAAAGCCAAGCTTACCATGGCTCCCCAAACAACAACTTGTTTGGAGTGGTCCTGGGAGCTGCTCAAACCCCAATCCCTGTTCAGTTCTCCCAATTTCATCACAAACCCAACCATGTCACACCAGATCACATCAGTGATTTAGTTACTTGTGTCCTACCTCCATCAACAGCCACAGAAATGATGCTTTAGGTTGCCAAGAGTTTTGGGGGCACAGATGTAGCCAATTACTAAATGGTTTCAAGAGAGAGAAATAATCCCTTCCTGCAGGGAATAATTTCTTTCCTGACTCTCAAAGTTCTCTTACCTGTACCTTGTCTTATATAAGTAAAATAAATGTTTAGAGTTTGATAAATTTAAGTCAGCCACAACTTTTTGACCAGAGCTTACCAACACCAGCTTTAGAAGCATTTCCCAACCAAACCTGTACCTGGTTAGCAGCTGCTCTTCTGCACAAATTTAGAAGCTTAGGTCAGAAATAAGCCATGTATTTATAAGCCATTATATTGTATTTAGACTGGACAATAGATTCCAGTTTTCTCACTAGCAGACTCTGTATAGACTAAAGCCATATTTCAGTAACACCTTTAGTTATTCCAGAGGCAACTGTGCCACACACTGTTTTAAGGGAAACAGTTGGCACTAACCAGGTTATTACAGCCCAAACTTGCATCACAGGATGTGCAACTTGTAATGAGCCTAGAGATCCTTCTTAAGTCTGTTTTCTTCCCTAGCAGTGTGTAAAGGACAACAAAAGTTCCAGGGACAAGCAAAAAAAAAAAAAAAGGTATCAGAAACAAGATGGTCAGCCAGGTTTGGTTTTTGACATAAGACTGCAGAACATCTGATAGAGCACAAATTAAAAATAGATTTGGGTGTTCTCCAGATGTCCAGACATTCCCAGCAGTGTTTTTGCAGCACAGCCCCTGCACCTCCCATAGCTGCACACAGCAGGCTGTTTACCAGGAGATAATACCCAGGTACTGCATCCATCTGTACACACTGCCCCAAATTCAAAGAGCAGCCTCCAACCTGGCACCTGGGGGGTGAGTTCATTAGGAGAGCTGCTAATGACCCTTCATCCCTAAGCGTGCACACACAGCCCAGAACAATCACGTGGATTCCTCACATTGCTTGGTCAGGGGTTGTTTGTTAAAAGACAAGGGACAGACAAACCACCACAAGTCCCAGATGGCCCAGAAGAAATTCTTACATACCAGGCTTTGTCACAGCCACTTCTTGGGGACAGCATCCAGTACTCACCAAGTCAATGAGGTCACTGAGATTCTTCTCTATCTGCTGGGGAGGCAGGCGCCTCATCAAATCCAAGGCACAATCCAGCTGCTGGTCACTCTGCAGGAACAAAAAGAGCCCCTGGTCACAAGGTGGGCAGGTAACAACACACAGCTCCCAGGTCTCAGCACTGATACAAATAAAATTCATTCCATTTGATTGTGGATTATTGACTTGAGTCCAGTCCTTGCCTCACCAAAACCGCTTCCAGTGTTTGTGAAGTGTTTAATGCATTGTTTTTCTGCACGATCTCAATAATAAACTGGGTTAGGGAACTGAAAGTTCCTTCTCCCAAAGTGGGTTTAACACTTCCTCATTTGCACTGATCAGTTTGAGATAATCAGCATCCAAGACAAACTCTGTTCCACTACAGAGCTCCCTCTCCCCTGCAGCTTTATCAGAAAACCAGAATGAAACATGCACATAAAGCATGATCCATTCTTTCCTTCTTCCTACAAAACACACACCAAGAGCTGCCTGTACCTAAGAAATCAGGGACGTCAGCTATTTAGAGCTAACACAACTTTCTCCAAAGGGCTCACTGTAGCTGGTCTGACACAAAGAAACACCCTTAAACTCCAGAGTCAGAAAATGTGCCCCAGACACTTGAGGAGTTGAGCCATGGTCTGACATAACCTTTAGTTGTCTTTTCCATCAACAGACACGTTCCTGCTGACCTAACAGCACCCAAAATCTGCACAAGTTCCTTTGATGCCAGGTCAGGTGAAGCACAGCCAGTTTGTTTTCACTGCTCCTCCCCTCCTTTTTCTCTTTGCCACTTCCAGCCACCCAAATCGCACGAGCTGAGGTTTCATTTCACCCTCCCGTGTTCTATCAAGCTCCAAAGTCTTATTTAAAAACAGCTTCAATACTAACACAGTCCCATTATCACATTATTCAACAACAGCAGCCCCCAGGACAGGGAGAAACAGGAAGCCAAGTTTCCTGCAATTAAGCTAAACCTGGAATGAGGGAAGGAGGGAGGGCTCAGTTCAGTGGGCATCCATTAGGAAGCTGTTCATCCAGGGGAAGGGAACTCCTCACTCACAGCTACTGAACTTTCAGACCCCAAGGACAGAGACTCTTCAGGTGGCCTGTGCTTGCCCAGGCACGGATCTCCCTTCCCAAGTATTGTCTGTACCTCCTGCTATCTCCTGCATCCAGGAAGGAAACCTGGCACATTGGCACAGGGCTGTGCTCCTCACTTGTGGATCATGGGAACATTCAGGGAAGTGCTCTGTCCTCCTCTGCCAGCTGGAGTTGTTTAAAAGACAAAAAAGCCCAGGGAAGGATGTAAAAAAACACCACTAAAGCTACAACCCCAGAGTAAGTATTTTACAGGAAGGCAAACTGAAAATAAAATACACTGCCTGGAGTAGAATCCACACTCGCAGTGTTTCTGGATTAACCAACAGAACCCGGAGGGACCATTTTTACCCAACCCATTCAATAACAGTTGTAAAAGACACGAGCAGGATTGCTGAAGGCAGAGATTCTCCAAGGGGTTCAGACACAGCTGACATACATGTTATGTGCAATGGAAAAACAAAAATATGCAGGCACATACAGTGCATGGTACAATGTACTTCCCCAGCACCCAGCAGGTAAAAGCAAGGCTGAGCAGGACTCCTCAGTTTCTCACAGAGCATTTAGGTAATTAAACAGCTTGCCAGGAGACCTCTTCAAGCACCAAAATAAAGGCAGGCTCTGCTGCAGTTGTGTCCCTAAATCCATGGCTATACAGTCACTTTAATCCAGCATAAATCCGGCTGGAATGGTCAAAAAGGCAACACAAGCTGACAGATTACAGCTCAAAGTGGTACCTTGGGGTACTGGAGACATCTGGTATTTCAGAATTGAACAGTCAAGTGAACCAGGATCCTTTGCTCCTGGTTCTTTCTCTGCAGGTGAAGATTTAAAAGCCAGGTGTGTCAAACTCAACCTTTGGTTTAAACCCAGCCCCTGCCCAGCTGGAGGAGACAGAGCAGCTGCAGGCACTGACAGGACAGGGACAGGGAACCATCCCATGTGCCAGCAGCAGCTCCCTCATCTTACAGGTGAACATCCCAAGGATGTGCAGTTTGGAGAGTGGCACTGGATCCGGGCTGCTGAAACCCCCCAAGGCCTTCACACAACTGGGGGAACTGAGGACGTGTCACCCACCTCTCCAAACCCCACCTACTTCTCTCAACCTCACCCGTCCTGCATTTCCACTCGCTTAATTCTTCTGCAAAACCACTGCAGACCGGGTTTCTTAGCAGACCTCCAGTCAAAACATTTCCATGGAATTTTTGCCTTTACCAAGAAGAGGCTCCTGCAGCCCTGCTCCCTGAGCAGGTGATCAGACAGCCTGTCTCCCAGGCTGGGCTGCTCCCAAAGCCAAGCTCTTTGAGCTTGCACGACTTAATGAGCTTAGTGTTTACTTGATAGGAGGTCATTTTCCACCATTCCTGTTTCATCCAGCCCAGAATCTCCTGTGGAGGAGCAGGGAGTTCAGACAAATTCTAAATGAAGTTTTATTACAGCTGAAGTCACTGAAGGATTTAGAGATCATAGGAATCTCAGAGACTGAAAATATTAGCTTAGATGAAAGCTCTTTAATAAGTTTCCTTTCAAGATGTTTGCCTATCTAGAATCTCCACTTAAGCACCTGTTATAGCATTCCCATGGCACTACCCCAGGGAACAAGGTTATGAGAATGTCTGTAGTAGTTATTTTACAGCTTCCTTTGTCTGCACCTCGTCTTCTTTTTGGTCTTTTTGCTGTCCTAAGCTTATTTCCAAAAGACAAACCCCCTCATAACAGCCATCTCTGGTCATCTAGGCACTCTGTGTTAAAGCTCAAATCAGAAAAAAACAGTGCTGAAAAATTTTTTTTTAATTGCAAAAATGTGCAGTTGTAAAGGGGCACAGCTGTGCACCTTAATTTTAAAGGTTGAGTATGGGCAGATGTCATTCAAGGCAGAAAACACAAAACACCCCAGATAGTTACTCTAAGTATGGAAATCACAAAAAATGAAACAGGCAACAGCTGGACTTCCTTTTGACTCTCACTTGTCATGTGTAAAGCCCAGAGCTCCTTGGGGTGAGGGGCACAGGGAACAGGGGTACAGGAGCTGACCCAACACGACACCAAGCTGGGAGCAGAGAGCTGCTCCTACACAGCCCCTGCACACACCAGAGCCCAGCTGCAGCCCTGGCAGTCACCCACAGCAGGCCCTGGCACCGATCAGTGAGCTCTTCTGCACCAGGAGACACATCCAGACACATCCAGAGCCTCTCCAGCTGAACCAGCAACACTTCACTGAAGTGGCACCTGTTTGCCCTTTTCACCAGACACCAGCACTCAGATGAGTTATTACAGGTATTCTGCATTCTTCAAATACCTTTACACATGCTTGTGACTACATACACTAACAGAAATCCACAGGCTTTATTCCCAAGTTTGGGAATGGACAGTTCTCCAATTTCAGTTACCTGAGACTTCACCTATGTTCCATCTTCCAGGAGGGCTTCCACAAACCTGCAGCTCTCCCCATCCCAAGGCCATTCCACTTGTAAGGAGATAAAAGATCTCATTTAAAGCTCCTGGCCTTTCAGTCAGCAGAATTTGCTCCCATTTATCACAAAGCCCTGTGGACTGAATCTCCCTCCACAGCTCTGTTGGGACACTCCTGCTCATCTGAGCCTGTTATTGCAGAGCACAGACAGAGCTGGGCGGTGTCTTCAAACAGAAACCCAGGCTGGTTTCACTTCTGTGCTCTATTTCTGTATTAGCCCCACTCACAACAAGCTCCTGAGCCCAGAGCTGAGCCAGATCACAGCTACAGCAGTGGGAGCTTCTCCCAGTTTAGCCTCTCCTGGCTATAGAAATAATAATAAATAAATATAATAGATTATATATGTAATATAAAATAAATAATAAACAAATAATTCAGTTGGGCCACCACATCTTTTCCACCAGCAAACCCAGTACAACATTTCTACTCCAGGCATGATGGTGCTACCGACCCCCTTTTCCATCTGTGACATCCCCTGAGAACAACTGGGGGACTCAGAAATTACTGCAGCTGAAAAAGCCACACACCTGATAGGACAGAAAAAAATCTTGGAGATACTTCATACCCAAGTTTCACTCAAGACTGGCATGTGAAAGGTTACCCAAATTCAAAACACAAGCAGCATCTCAATGTTCAGACAGTAAAAACATAAGGTAAAATCCTCAGAAGGCACTGCAACCAGAATACTTGCAAAATGCCATGCAATTCAAAATAATCACACATCAGAGCACTCTGATCACTGGTCAGTTTGCAGACAAAATCTCTCTGTAAATTAATCCAGGGCCAGAAGTACACAACAACAAATGACTCTTTTTCCTTCCTTTCAAGCTGCAGACATACCCAAGATTGTAAATCACATTATTTCCTGTCAGTTCTCCCAACAGGAATGCCTGACTAATGTTTCAGCTTTGTGGTACTACAACACTAAGGTTTTTTTAATTGAAACAGATACCCAGCTTCCCCTCCTGCTTGTCATTTTAATCCCTGCCAACTTCCAGAGCTCCAAGGGCAGAAGACTCCCTTTTCCAATTACACAACAGGATAGTATTACTGCTAGAAGCTGCAGCAAGGGTTGAATTATTGTAACCCTTGGGTAATAAAAAGTACAGTAGTATGTTAAGTTGCAGGGTTCCCTTCTCAGCTGTCAGCATTCACTTTTTAGGATATTAGATGGGAAGGGGAGTAACTGTCTGACCTGGGAAAGCCCAGAGAAGTTCTGCACTCATGACGTTTCCATCAGCTGCACATATTCCTCGCAATCTGTTTCTCCACATTATTTTTCCCTTGACTATTAACCCTCCTCTGGCAGATCCTATCTAAAACCATTTGTAATGGACTCATAAATCACAGCTCTGTGACAGCAAGGTGTGCTGGGGGAGAAACAGCAATAGCACAGTAAGGAAACAATCAAAGGTAATAAAACCTGAACGCAGACTCTGCTGTGGACAGTCATAAAAGGTCAAAGATTATTAAAAGACAAGACACCAATACAGACCTCATT